CCTATATAGGATCCTAACCCGCAGCGGGAGCGTCGCTGTGCTCCTAGCGCCGCACTCTCCTGAGTGCGCCACGGGGCCAGCCCGAACTTACTCATCTTTAAATGTTTGTACCTTTTGACCAACATCTCATCTGCCCACCCCACCCCTGGTGACGCCCTCCACTCTGCCTCTACAAGTCGCCTGCTCAGGTTCCACATGTGAGACCATGTGGTGTTTGTCCTTCTGTGGCTGGCTTATTTCCTCAGCACAATGCTCTTCAGGGTCATCCATGCTCTCGGAAAAGGCAGGATCTCCTTCTTTTTATGGCTAAGTAGTATTTCTTTATGCAGCCATCTGTTGAGGGACACTTAGATTGTTTCCTGCCCTGGCTATTGTGAATAAATAGCACTTCCATGAACATGGCAGTGCAGACATGCTGATTTGTTTCCTTTGGATATATACTGAGTGGGATACCAAGTAGCAGTTCTATTTTTAATTTTTTGAGGGACCTCCACACTGTTTTCCATAATTTACGCTCCCACCGATGGTGTGCATGGGTTCCCTTTTCTCCATACCCTCACCAACACTTATCCCATGTCCATGCTACTCAAAGCAATCCCTACCAAAATCCCAATGGCATTTTTCACAGAAATAGAAAAAACAGTCCTAAAATTCATATGAACCAGAAAAGACTCTGGCCAAAGAAGTCTTTGAGAGAGAAAAACAAAGCTGGAGGCATCATACCTCCTGATTTCAAACTATATCACAGAACTACAATCAAAACAGCACATAGTAGCACAAAACAGACACAGACCAATGGACCAGAAATAGACCCATGCATATGTGGTCAACTAATACTTGACAAGGGCACCAAGAACACACAATGGGATCAATAGTCTTTTCAATAAATACTGCTGGGAAGACTGCACATCCACATGTGGAAGAATGAAATTGGACCCCCATCTGACACCACTCACTGAACTCAGAATGGATCAACTCAAAATGGATTAAAGACTTAAATGTGACCTGAAATGGTAAAACTCCTGGAAGAAAACATGCACTGGTTCCTTGACACTGGTCTTGGCCATAGTTTTTGGATTTGACACCAAAACCATAGGAAACAAAAGCAAAAAATAAACAAGTTAGTCTATATCAAACTAAAAACCTTCTGCATGGCAAGAGAAACAATCAACTAACCGAAAAGGCAACCTACAGAATGGGAGAAAGTATTTGCAAACCATATATCTGATAAGTGGTTAATATCCAAAATATCTAAGGAACTCCTACAGCTCAACAGCAAAAAAATCAAATAACCTGATTTAAAAATGGGCAAAGAAACTGAACAGACACTTTTCCAAAGAGGACACAGAAATGGCCTCTTTGGAAAGGAAACAGTTATATGAAAAGGCGTTTAACACCACTAATTGCCAGGGAAATGCAAATCAAAACCACGATGAGATACCACCTCACACTTGCTACAATGGCTACTATGAAAAACACTGTCCCTGAATTTCGGCAGTTTTCCCACTATTGCCCTTTCAGAACGGCCGGCCTGGTGGCGCACTGCTATAGCGCGCTGCTTGGGAAGCGTGGTGGCGCTCCCACCGAGGGTTCGGATCCCACATACAGACCGGTTCCCGCTCACTGGCTGAGCGAGGCGCGGGAGCAACGCCGAGGGTTGCGGTCCCGTTGCCGGTCCCGGTCTGGTGCGGGGGCGACACTGAGGGTTGCGATCCGTTGCCGGACACGGAAAAAGACAAAAAAAAAAAAAAAAAAGAACTGTGGTCCAATCCAGGATGCCACACTGCATTTAATTGACATGTTCTCTGCATCTGGCAATTCCTCACTCATACTGTCTTTCACGACTTTTTCACTTCAAAATAATGCTGGTCAGTTATTTTGAAGAATGTCCCTCAGTTAGGGTTTGTCTGATGTTTTCTCATGATTAGACAGAGCCTCTGCTTTTTCTGCAAGAATACAACAGAAGTGGCTGTGTCTTCTCGGATCCCCTCTTGTGCACAGATATCTCCTCTCTGTACCCCTCCTTCAGCTGCCACAGGATTCAGGGTGATGGGAAAGCCCCACGCCCTCCATTGACCACCACTTCCTCCACCACGCGGAATCAGCCTCCTCTTCCTGCCTTGACCCCGACTGCGGCCCAGAAAGTGCCTCTCTGCCACCCTGCAGAAGTCAAGACCACAGAGGGCTCAGCTTGGGGTTCCCTCTGGGTTGCTGTCTGCGCTCTCCAATTTGAAGATGCTGTGTCTTGCACTGTGTCTGGCCTCCCAGTGGTCACAGGGGGCGGGGTGGCCTGGTGTTGTCTCCACTGCTGGGATGCACAGCGTCCTCTGGGGTCAAAGCGCCAACGCACCTAAGCCACAGGCTGGGGCAGCCCTGACCTCCAGTTCGGGCGTTCTCACCCACGTGGCTGTGGGATTCCCTCTGAGACTCAGCTTGAAGCAGCCCGCCCAGTTTTCAGGGATTTGGAACATGGCGTCCAGTGTCTGGGTGAGCCTGTGAAGCTGACTGAGTGGTGCCGGTTGTGACCTGAGTGGCAGCAGAGCGGGCGGAGAGGCTGCTTTGCCACGTCCATGGGTGGCTGCACCAACTTGCTGGGCCTGCTGAGGTTCCTTGGCTCATCAGCAGATGACATTTTGCTGTTGCTGTTCTTTGTTACCAACTCAGCTCCATCTTCTGCTCCCACTGAAGGAAGACTGCTTCTGGTGCCCCTCCATGGAAGCCCCTGATCCACACAAACACAGAGATGCAGAGTTAACCAGCCATGGATAGTCACCACATAGGATGGACATGCTTCGATGTCAAGGCCTATGAGAATGGGCTCCTGGGAATTTCAATGCTTCATTAAAAGGAACCATGAAAACATCTCTTATCTTTCTAATTAAATGGGAAAATGAACTCGGAGACAGCATCACACTTTATTGTGGGATCTGGACATGGGATCACCACCGTGACCCCAACAAGGCATTTCCAATTATCTGTAGACCTGGCCGACCATGCCAGCTCCCACGGCTCTCAGAAGGTTCCCATATGCCTGTCTGCTCCTTCTGCTGGACTGCCACAGCCCCTCACATGGCCAACCCGGGCAGGAGCTGAGCTGGGGAGCCCACAGCCTCTTGGCAGCTGCTGGCGTCTGCTCACCACCCCCATGAGTGCACATGTTGGGTCACAGCCTGCTGCCTCCAGCTGCTTCTGGTGCCCGTCCATGGAAGCCCCTGATCCACACAAACACAGAGATGCAGAGTTAACCAGCCATGGATAGTCACCACATAGGATGGACATGCTTCGATGTCAAGGCCTATGAGAATGGGCTCCTGGGAATTGGGCTGGCTTCTATGTTTGCACGGTAGAAACAACAGGGCCTGGAGAAGCAGTTGAGGGCTCCCCATAGCCCCAGAAAATCACTTGTTGGGTGCTGCCTGGTTACGTGCTGTCCACACATGTACTGTCTGAGCCTATTCACGTGAAGTGACCAGAGCCAACTGTGCCCGTCACCCTCCTTGCTGCTGGGGCCACAGTGACATCATCAGGGCAGGAGCACCCAGCAGCCAGGCTGATGTGCTGTGCATGGGGGGACTCCTACCAGGGATGATGCACCTCTAGAGCCCTCGTCCCAGGAGATGAGAGGGACCTCAGCATTGAAGCCCTTTCTGTGGGTACAAGGCTAAGCAGCCCTAACCATGACAAGAGGAATCAGGGGCCCTGTCTTACTCTACAACTGGCCAGTCCTGTCGTCACAGAGCAGATCATATGGCACCAGTCAAGAGCTGCCACTGGCCAAGGTGGGAGGGACTCAGCATCAGAGCTGCTGACGAGGCAGTGGGCATGCAGGAGCCCACGCTCAGATGCATGGGAAGTCTAAGGGATACGGTCCTGTCCAGAATGCTTCATCACAGTGGGGAAGCAGCTTCCCAGGAAGGACCCTCCTGGATTGGTGGTCAGTGCCAGGGTCAGGAATGGGACACGTGGAAGCTTCCCCCATGCCTGTGCATGGCTGGAAGCTGGTCTCAAGTCACAGCAGACAAGCCCAGTGTCATGGTTAGGCAGGCAGGGAAAGATGAGGAATGTTCTAGACTGAAGGAGAGGACAGGATGGCCTAGGTCCACACGAGGCCTGCTTTGAGAGGGCCCTGTCCCTGTGGGCTCTCCACTTTGTGCTGTGCCCGACTCCTCCGTGAGTTTGCAATTGATCCCCCCACCCCAAAAGCTTAAACAAACTGATGCTTAGAGAGCATATCTGCACAACGAGGTTTCCAATGTAAAAAATTAATACTTCATAACAATTCTAGTGTAAAAATTAGGATACTGTTAGCAGAGGGCAAGGAGTGGAGAAGAAAGTGAGAGGAGCTGCCAAACTCTCTGCTCAGTACAGTCAGGAGTTGGAAGGAGCCACCTCGCTGCTGACTCTGAAGTTCCAATCACATTTTGAAAACCTTAAAGGGAGCCTCACTGAAATGGAAAGCAGGAAGGACGTGTATCTTTGAATGTTCTGTAGGGGCCTGCTAAATAACCAGATTGCTCTGGGTCACAATGAAACATCTGAACAGACCCAGCTCCTATGAGACCAGCTGTGGGTCCAGAAGGAGAGTGCAGAAGGCGGAAGCGAAGCAGGCTGGTCCGGCGGGTGTGAGGGCCCCGGCTGCGTGCACCCTCCTTGTGCCCAGTGAGCTCAACGACCACCCACAATGGCACGTGCTCTATCATTGAAAATGGTCTTTGGAATGTTTTGGATATTCCAGAAGCCATAGGAGCAGCTGGTGGAGAAACGGTAAGTCCAGAAGCTCCTTTGAGTTTCCTTGTGAAATGGACCACAGAACACAGTCCTGAATGTGGCTGGGGCAGCCAGGCCACTGAAGGCCACTGGAGGTGGCTGGTCAGGTGGGCAAGCACATCACAGGGAAGGAGTCCACCCCCGCTTCAGCGGGAAGCCGGCACAGCCTGGAAGAGCTGCCAGGGGTGTTCTTGGTAACTTATTTCCCAAATGAAAATAAAAGTTCTACTCACAGCTCCGAGCATGATCCTGAAAATCAGCCACCGAAAACCCCACAGGACGATCCGGGACGTGGGGGTGTGTCTGGGTAACCGAGACAGAGTCCACAGAGGGCACAGAAAGACCCCCAGGAAGCCCGTTTCCAGCAGCTGCGACTCCCACCCTGCAGGAAAGACAGTAGGAGACACATGAAGGATCATGTTAGCAGGAGCCAAACGTTAACGAAGAAATCACAGCACAGACTCATCTTAACTGAAATGGTCCTTAAAACAGGACTGGCGTTGCTATGGAGAGGCAGGACGCACCCCACCTTCCACTCTTAAGGGTAAATGTGCAGCTCCTAGGGAAGGATGGGAATGTATCTGCGGGACCAGAGCATGGAGTACGGGGCCGAACCTGGGGCTGGGGGCTTAACATGACACCAGGCACCCTTCTGCCCTGGAGGGAAGGCCCTGCCCCTAGCAGTTCAGACACCGCCTCCATCCTGGGCAGGACACTGCATGCACAACATCCCAGCCCAACGCTGAGCACAGGCCACCGCCGGCCGGCATCTGCAGAAAGCCTTTCCTATTCAGTAGGCATGCCTGCAGAGTCCCAGCTGTGCACATCCTTTCTCGAGAACTATTCACCAGGACAGAAGTAGGTGCCACCGAGGCAGGACAGCCTTTATGGGGGGACAGAGTCTTCCCCAGGTGGGGAAGGAAGCCAGGCGGAGATGTGGGGCCAGGTAATGGCAGATCCAAACGCAGCTGCCACTGACAGCCCGCAGCCCTGCTGCATGATGTGTGGTGTGGGACCTAATTCTCTTTGCTGAGAACTCTTTGGGAGAAACATGCATGTGGGCAGTCCACCACGTCCTGCTCTCACGGAAACTCACCAAGCTGAACCCTAAGGTGCAAACAGCTGCTGGAAGCTCTCCCATGTCCCGCGTCTGTCCACACCCATCACTGTTCCAGGGTTATTGGTGATCCCTCACCGCCAGGCTCTCTGCTGGGCTCTGAGGACACCAGACAGAGCCAGAGGTACCTGCTTCCCATTGTGATAACGACCAGAGGGTTCACCACAGAAGTAGTACCTACGTGAATGTGTGTGTGCATGCGTGCATATGTGTGTGCGTGTGTGTGTGTGTGTGTGCACGCATACAGAGGAAAGGGCATAGTTAGATGCAGGAAGAGGCTCACAAGGGGGAGTCCTGGGAGGGACTCCTACTATTCTTGCAATTTTCCTGTACATTAGAAATTATTTTAAAAATAAAAGCTTATAAAGTAGAAGCTAATAAAGCAGTGCTGAATTACAACCCAAAGTGTAAGGTAAACACCCAGGGGTCCAACCTGACGTTCACGGAGCACCAGCTCCTAGGGCCTGGCGAGCTCCAGGCGAGGCTGCTCCATGTGCACACGGATGTGCCAGGTTGTAGTCAGACCAGCTCCTTGAAGGTGCCTGCGCTGCATGCGTACCCACGAGTGACATGTAACGCCACGCTGAGTAAACCATGCTCTCTGTGCTTCCCCTTACAGAAGGTTCCAGAATGAGCAGAACTGGTGCAGCCACTGTGGGTGGACAGGGCCCGGGGGGACATAGCCAGAGCTGGGCACTGTCCCCTCACATCTCACTTCCCTCTGAGCTGCCACAGTCCAGCTGCTCTGCTGCTGGGATTTCAGACTTAGTGCCGTGACTTCTTGACTGACTGCAAACTCTGCTGGTCGTCTCAACCAGGAAAAAATGGACTTTGCTCCTCATAGAACAGTCTCACTAGTTTTATCCTGGGAGACAATTAGTATTGAGTTTGGGCTCGTTTCACCCGGGGGGGTACTTTATAATGTGTAGGATTTTATGACCAAAGGACTCCATGGAACAGGGGAATGCTGATGGCTTGGCGTGGGCGTGTGTGCCTCAGGGAACCTCAAAGGCCACGTGTCCAGTTCCTGCCTCTGTGTGGCAGGTGAGAAAACTCAGGAACAGGAGGCCAATGAGACCTACGCCCCCTGCAGCTGGGGGCAGATGGCGGCTGGCAGAGTGCATGGGAGGCAGGAAGGCGACTGCCTGGGGCTGAGGTACCCCCATGCCCTCCATGCAAACCTCGCGGCTCTGGGGCGAGCAGGGCTGGCTCCATGACAGCTGCAGTGTGGCCCCACAGCTTTGGGGGACATGTTCCCCAGGGTGCGGGGCCTGCCTATGCCTTCCCTAATTGTCACCTCACTCTGCACAGATGTGAGGAATGGAATTTTAAGATGCAGTTTGAGTGACACCGATCATAGTGATTGATACAAAATGACAGAACCCAGAGACCTGCCTAAGTGCCAAGTGGGTGGTGGGTTGGGGGTGATGGGAGACTTGCTGAAACCACAGGAATGTGCCGCATGTGCGGAGGTTGCTTGGCCTCTGCTGAGTGGGAGGAAGTCTCCTGATCCTGCTCCAGGCACAGAGAGCAGAGGCTGCTGAGCTGAGCCTGGGGGTCTTCTTGCAGTGGGACCCCTCTGCCCTCACCCCAGCTCGCGGGAGGCCACGGCTGCTGGAGCCCATCTCCCTGACAGTGAAGCCACACTGGCAGGTTGCAGGGCCCTCACGGCTGCTCTGGGCAGGAAAGGGTCGTGTAGACCCACCTGCTCCTGTGTTCCCTGCTTGCATCTTGTCAAGTTCCAGCAGCTGTGCTGTGTGCACAAGGAACACCATTGTTCTCCACTTCAGTGTGGCGGAGGATGCGTCCCCAGGAAAATAAATAACAGCGCTACCAGGGGCGGCTTCCAGCGCTGAGTGATGAGATGCTGGTGGGTCCTCAGGCCTTTTTGCAGCGAACATGCAGCCCATCTGCGATGCCACTGCTTGTAACTGTGGACAAATGCTGGCCCTGCTGCAACCAGCAGCCTCACTGAGGGCCTCCTATCCATTAGGAAAGTCCTATACACACAGCACCTGTGCTCCACAACCCACATCTGGTCCTTTTTCCTAAGGGGACAAAAGCGCTGGCTCCCTGCTCTTCCACAGGCACCTCTTACTTAGAGGGCAGATCCTACCCTACTCCATGCCTCCAGGATGAAGCTGTTTTTATCCAGCATGTGCGGTACAGGTCTGGGCGAGACGGTCCTGCCAGTGACGTTACAGGGTGACAGGCCCACAAGAAGGCCCTGAGTGTGAGCCCTGCGTGGACAGCTTCCACACAGTGATAGGCGCCTGGTTCTGGAGCTGTCACCTCTGTCACTTTCCTTTCCAATACTGCAGATGAGCACTGAACCAGTCCTGCTTGAGAAGCTACCCCCACAAAACTGAAGGAAAAAGACTCTCCCATTTGAGAAAGACCAAGAAATTGGTGCTTCCAGAGCCCTGCACGCGTGCAGCTGTTGGGGTGGAGCCCTATCAGTGCAGGATGAGTTAGGAGTGCCCCAGGGCTCTGCCGTTCTTTGGAGCGCCAACCCGAGAGTCCGCTTGCTGCTTGTCTCCCAGGGATGTCCCCAGAGGGGCTCCCGCTTTGGGGAGGGCACGGTGGGGAGGAGACAGACACTGTCCCGAGGCTGGGGCCATGCTCAAGGAATCCTCAGACTGCATCCAGCTTGGTCCTGACAGACAACAACCTCGATGCATGTTTGGCACAGCTGTGGGGACAGCTGCCCTGTTGATGGCCTCCAGGTCGACACCAGCCACAGCCCCTCACCCTGCAGGCCCAGATCAGCACGGCTGAGCAGCCTTGACATGCAGGGCGAGGAGACCGACACCTGGCTTGGCATCGGCAGAGCAGATGTTCCCACAGCCCTTGCTCTCCTGGTTTGTGTTTCTGGAGCTGCTCACTGTTTAAACATCCATGGTGGGGACCATCGTCCGTGTCTGCCAGGGCAGTACCCATGGACCCTGAGAAGAGGCCCTACATGAAACACACGGATCTGGGCCCAGCGTCTGGAGGCAGAGCTCCATGTCCTCACGTCCCAGTCATGTTCTGGTGACTGGTCACCACTGACGTGTGAGACCGGAGAGGTCCAAATCCTGTAGTCTCCTGACTTCTGACCTGTGTGTCCACCTAGCCCAGGCACTATGCCAGCTGTCCACTGCCCACCTCAGGGAAGGGCTTCTGCTGAGTGAACCTCACGCTGACACTGCACAGAAGGGACCTGAGGCATGAGCATCCTGGAATCTGGGGGAGACAGATGGTGAGGCCCCCAGCTATACCCCCACCTTGGGGACTCCCGACACCATGGGCAGGCAGGCCTGGCCAGGAGTCATGGACAACCACCACCATGGCTATTCTGCACCAGGCACAGGCTTCTCAGGACACTTAGAAATGGCAGACACAAGAGAATGAAATGAGCCTTGTAACCAACTTGCTGGGAATGTTTTAGGGTTTAAGGTGCTGGATGCTGGGCTCTGCAGGTGCAGGAAACATGGGGACACGGATGGTGTGGTGGGGCCAGATGCCCCACAGACACCCTGCCCAAGCACCCCATGCATGGATGAAAGATTCTGAAGGTGAATGGTGCCGACAAAGGTGACTGCCACAGAGCACCTCTCAACGTGGCTTCCAGAAGCTCTGGATTTTGGAAGCATGTTTTCTGTGTGGGTGCCATGGAAAAGCACATGCCTGACATTGCATCTGGGCCATCTGTGACCTCCTGAGGAAGGACTCCATGTTAAGAAAGCCTGCGACTGCTTCAGTACAAATCCTCCTGCATCCTGTGAACACAGTGCAGACAGACAAGAAGCCAGGTGGGTCGTGTCCCCTCGAGAGCAGCAGCCGTCCGAGCAGGTAAAACTGTTCTCCACCCGGCCTGACAGGGGCTGCGCAGTCTGAGGAAGGGCCACGAGCTCCACCCGCGCTGTCCACTCTGCAGGACCAGACTAGACACTCTGAGAGTGGGAGAGGCATCCGGGCAGCCAGCCAGGGACGGGGAGTGTGTCACTGGCCGGGCTGAGTGTTGGGGCAGGAGCTGAGCTGGGGTTTCGTGTGGAAAGCAACAGAGGCAGGGCCGAGCCCATGGCGCACTCGGGAGAGTGTGGCGCTGGGAGCGCAGCAGCGCTCCCGCCGCGGGTTCGGATCCTATATAGAGATGACCGATGCTGCCATTTAAATAAAAAAGCACAAATGCAATGAGAATTGAAAACTCATTAGCTGATCCTGCAGTGAAACCCATTTGGTTGTCTCTCTGACAGAAAGCCAAATGCAGTGATGAACTTGGA